CGCATAAGTTGACGCTGGTGCTCACTCTTATCTTCTCGTAGAAGATGGACGCATTGGTTACGGATGGATCGGTAATATTCCCACTGAGTGGTTGTTGGATGGGGGCGATAGTTTCTCCATGCCGTGTTCCTGGAGGCAATCCATTTCCTTGTACGACTTCGGATGAGTGCTGGGCGTCTCTTCCCTATGGAAACTTCTTTTCACGTCGTCGTAGTGGAGCAGAGTTCACGTAGGGTAAGGCAAAAGCTTGACCACACGCTGTAGGCGCTCGATTGGGACTCGGGTGACCAGTTGTTAGCGGAAATGAGAAGGTTCAACTTTCCGTAATCAGTCCAGCGTTTGGTATAAGTTGGCGTGCTGACGAGTTTTTCGGCGAAGCATATAAAATCGAAACGGAGGACGCAGTGGTCGCTAAGCCCCAAAGGGGCATCATACTTAACGTGCTTAACCATCAGTTCTTCGTTAGTGAGGACGAGATCTAGCAGGGACAGTTGATTGTTGGATCGGAATCTGGTCGGCTGATACGTGTGGTTGTACAACGGGGCCGTGTGAAGAAGATCAATGAGGCCTGATGCAAAGGAGTTAGTAGACGGGACAGAGTGAAATAGACGGGGCAGATTGAAATCACCCATGATAAGAAAGTGTGTGCGCTTGTGGGATAACATAAGGTGGACGTCGTGCAGTTGTCCTGCATCCTTCTCGGGAGAGTTGTTTGGGGGGCGGTAAATGATACCAAGACAGCTGGAGTGTTTGGCGGTTAGTACGACCTCGCACCACATGGTGTCTGGAGACTGGAGGGAGGTGTTTGTTAACATGCTGCAGCTGAGGGAGATGTCATAGTACAGTGCGACACCGCCACCTGGGGTTGCGCGGTCAGAGCGGAGAACTGACATGTGAGGAAGTTGGATTTCACCGTCGGTTATGTCGCCGGAGAGCCACGTTTCCGTTATGGCTATTAGGTCCGCTGGTGTTGATAGAAGTCGGAATTGGAGCTCCGGAAGTTTGGACATGAGGCCCTGTGCGTTCGTGTAGATACAGGTGAGGCCCGTTTGGGTGATGAGCGCGGGAGTAACTAGGGTGCTGCCGGTCAGCAGATGACCGGCAGTGCACCGTTTTTTTGGTTTAGGGGGTGGAGCCGCTAAGGTTTGTAGTTGGGGAAACAAGGTGTGGGTCGTCGGAGCCCAGATGGGTGCTGGCGGCTGGGTCGTTGAAAGTCTGAAGGTTGCAATGTGTAGGTGAGTAAAGTACTCCAGGCAGTGAGGCAGGTGGTTCGGTGGTGGACCGACTGAGGACGATCTGGTCAGAGTGTGTCGGTACCGAGTTTGCTGCTGCTGCTACCAGGGGTCTGTGGGAAGCTGTGCGCCTCGGCACCGGGTGCCCATCTGGACGCAGACGGATATCTGGTGGTGCTCGTCTTTTATTAGCATACCAGATGGTGAGTGCATCGGTTGCCATGCTAGCGGTGAGGAATGTCACTTTCAGAAGACGGGGGGCTGTTCCTGTATAAGTTGCTGGACGAGGTAGGCGGTGAACGTCCGTTGTGATTACGTTGACAATATTTAGTGTCTGCTGAAGGAACCGCCATTGATTACAGTCATGCTGTTGTCGTTGTTGTAAGGTTGCGTCAAGAGTATGCAGTTCTGGGACGCCATGCACAATGATGGAGCATGGTTGAGTGGGTGGCGTCAGTTGCTGTCTGCGCGCAGCGCGCTTAGTCCAAGGGATGTCGGGGAAGATACGAATTTGGTAAATGCCGAGAGACGCATTGTTTCGGAGTAGGTGTGCTGACAACAGGACATCCTCCATAGCCGGGCCTGGCTGCAAGTCAACACGCAGAAGTCTTGGCTTACCGGCGTTCGGAGATGAAGTGTGGCGAGTCAGTCTTGTGAGACTAATGGGTTTCGTTTCAGGGAGGTTTAACGCGGTACAGATTGAGCTCCACATAGTGGAATCATGAGAATGTCGATTCTGAAGTTGCGGGTCGTTGGACTCGGGCACGTTTGTACATATGACAGAATTAGGAACAGGGCTACTCGTTATTCGCCTAGACGAACGCGGATGTGAAGCGGTAGCAAGCTTACTTGGTGGGAGGGCCTCCATCGGAAGCGTTGGTCGTCGGCAAGTGTTGGGCAGACCAGCAGTTGGTAACGGTGAGACGGTACGTGATTCAGGACGGTTGGGAGGTTGTTGTCGTTTGGTTAGACCGTCGACTTTCTGCAGTAGATTCTGTAGCTGTTCTTCCAGATTAAGCAAGCGCACTTCTGAGCGAGCATTGTTGCTAGGCGGCTCAACGAATCGTGGTGACCGGGGCGACTGCGTCTGCGAATGCTTGTTACGCGGTGTGGAGGGCGGGTTAGTGGGAGACGAGATTACAGAACCAACCATAGGGCAAGTCGTTGAGGAAAGGTCGCAAGAAATATCCCGCACGTAGTTCGCAATTCTGGGAATGCAAACCGGGCAAATGTACCGCAGGACCGTCTGTGGATGCGAGCGACAGAATTCGATGTCAGCTGCATGGAGCAAATTGTCACAAGGAGCGTGAACACGGTGAAGACAGATCGAGCAGGTGATGGCTTTGGAACGAGGTCCTACACGCTGAGTGCAGATAGAGCAGGTGTTCAGTAGCCGCATTGGCGTAGTGGGCGAGACCGAAATGATCGGCATGGTCAAACAGATGACGTACAGATGACACAAATATCTGCAAATAAACGTAGTGGACTACCTGTCTCAAGAGGTGTGATTCACATTTCCATCAAGAGCAAGTTTCTCCACAACCAAATGCAGGCCAGGAGTTATCTCGCTGGCGTCTTGTGAAGGGGGTTGACCATATGAATCGTGTGTGTTGATTTGGCTCTCCTTTGGCATATCAAGGCACCGGTTTCCCTGTTGGATCAACGATGTTTTCGAAGATGGAACATTCGCGGGATTTTCCTACTGTTCCCGTCCCAATTGAACTTGAACTTGAACTTGAAACGTCTGTTCGGTGGCTTGTTGTGATGTTTTAGCTTCGACGTACGCTGGTTTTAAGCGATCAAGGCTCAGAGAATCCTTCGAACCGTTTCTATCCAATACGAAGTACTTCTCTTTCCGAGTAAGAACTTTGAAAGGGCCCTCATACGGTGGTGTCAAGGCTTTACGCACCACATCGAAGCGCACAACAACGAAAGCGCAGGTATGTAAATCAGAGTGGACTTGCTGATTCCGAGGGCTGAATCTGGGCGGTGTTGGCCGGACTGAAGAAAAATGTTGTCGCAATCGTACCACATAGGAAGTCGGGTCTCGTTCGCCAGTGATTCTGGAATCTAACACTATCTCACCGGGAAGTCTGAGAGTTGTGCCGAAAACCAGTTCAGCGGGGCAACAACCTAGGTCTTCTTTGACCGCGTTGCGAATGCCGAGAAGGATACTTGGTAGCTGTTCGGACCAGTGCGTGCTCGATTGTGATGCGGTAATTGCGGCTTTCAGTTGACGATGAAAACGTTCAACAAGACCGTTGGCGGCTGGGTGGTGGGCGGTTGTTCACAGATGACAACAGCGGAGTAAACGATTGGGGTCTCGAAACAGAGTGGAATTGAACTGAGTACCTCTGTCTGTTGTGATCGTGGCTGGGTGCCAAACACAGATATCCAGGTTTCTTGTTCTTGCTTCATTCCATTGCAGAAGCAAGAAGAGAATCCAACGTTGGAGTGCTGGGGGCCGCTTCACTTACCGGCACAAGAACTGGACGCTCGTTAGGCGGAAGCCTCTATCGTCCATCTGACCTGACCTGACCTGACGATTGCGCACGGTCAGGTTACAATAGGTAAAAATCAGCAAACCTGTCCGATGACACGAACGAAGGAATAGAACGCTGATCGTAAGTAGATATCCGACGACTGATGGGAAGCACACACAACACTCGGCGGCACAACGTCACCGAAACCAGAAGACGAACGAAATTCGAAGAAGAGTATGTTTCTTGTTGTGAGTTAAAACACATATACAAACATTGACGGAAGATAGAATAGGAAGTTATGAGGAAAAATGTGACGAATTTATGAACACTACAACCTGGCTCCTCTTCTTGAGGATCTCTGCTACATCTTCGCAGATGACTTGACGCTAGTCAGTAGGGGAAACCAAGCGACATTGGCTAAGCACATCATCACTGTGGTGCATAAAGTTTGACTTTTGTCAAATTTCGCTTGAGCCAAAGAATTTTGGATCATCGTTTTCCCCGGATTACGTCGTACCCGTTTTCGGGTACTTACCAACGTCGTCCATCTTTTTTCGGGTTCAGCCTCTCGCTATTTTTCCGGTACTTTTGTGTTTTGTAATCCGTGTTGCACCTTGTTTAACCCATAACTGTTTCTGTTGACTGCCCTGCAGGTAACAGCTTGTCGGTTTTACTTTTTGATGCTTGTTTCACACTCTTTGAAACAATTCCACTGGCGAAGCAACGCACCGTGTCGACTTCTGCCATACCCGCAAAGTCCGAAAAGACTAGACCGGTGAGGGAGTTGGAGGCAGAGAATAAAGCTTCAACCTCAATTACTCCACCTCACTTGGCGAAGAAACGCGCCGTGTCATCTGCCAAACCGGTCGAAACTGAGGTCGCGTCGAAGACGCGTGGAGTGAATACGCCTTGTCGAGGTGATTCTTTTACTGATAGTAGTGTTATCTTTCGTAGCGTTGCTGAATCCGCGACAGCTCTTCCAAAGGAATGCATGCTGGATGACCTCCAGTGGTTCAGGGTCTGCGTCAACAAGATGCTTCCACTTGGTTTCCCCGGTGTCACTATCAGGAAACTAACCAGATTGGTGAACGTCCCTGTAGACACGCCAAATCCGCGACCCCGACTACTTCGTGTAGTCATCTCAACCCCGGAGGAACGCAAAGCGTTAATGCGCTTTGCATTCAAACTCAAGGATAGTAATGTCAGCGTTCAGCCGGACCTCCCACTGGCAGATCGACTGAAGTTAAAGGAAGCCATCAGAAGCCTCAAGAGCAGGCGGGCGGCTGGTGAGCAAGACCTTCGTCTTGTGGGTTTTCAGGTGGTCAGCCGGAAGTCAAATTCTGCCCTACCAGAACCTCTCCTGGTAGCGTACGACCCAGGGCTGGTCGTGCCGAGTTCCTTCGGGTAGTGCTTAGTAATGTGCGTAGCCTAAGGAACAAGGTACACGAGGTGGGTCTACTTGTAGACAAATCTCGTCCCGACATGCTTGCTATCACCGAAACGTGGCTGTCCCCGGATATCACAGACGGTGAAGTATGTTTTCCTGGCTACACACTGCTTAGATGCGATCGCTCCGTTGGCCGCCCAGGTGGGGGCATCGCTCTTTATGTGAGTTGTAAACTCGATGTGTTGAGGACCTGTGTGTTCCAGTCGCCGGATCAAACTGTTGAAGCCCTCTCGACTATTGTGTGCACTTCCTCCGCTCAGTTTACAGTTGTAGTGGTATATCGAAGTCCTGGAAGTATCTCCAGGGAGGTTATTGAATTTATTCGTACTCAGGCTGCCAATAGGTGTCTAATACTGGGTGACTTCAACCTCCCTGAAGTCTGCTGGGCTGATCTATCTTGCAGTTCGGCGGTGGGCACTTTCGGTTCGGATCTCCTTGAGCTAACATTGCAACTGCCTTTGCATCAGTTCGTGGACCTCCCGACTAGATATATGCGCAACCAAATTCCGTCTACCTTGGATCTCATTTTTGCGAAGTCACACGATTTCGTAAGTGATATTACCTACGACTGTCCTCTAGGAGCCAGTGACCATGTCTGCATATCCTTTCGATGTGCTCTAACTAAGTGTCATCAAGCTACCGCTGAGGCATGTCCAAATATTTGGCGGGCAGACTTTAACGCAATGCGAGACAAAGCTTCAGTTTTGCGTTGTGCGATCACCGTGGCTGACACCGTTGAGACAGCCTGGGAGAAATTTAAGGCATACCTCACCGAGATCTCTGCTCCCCACATCCCACTCACTAAGAGAAGGGTGACACGGGCGCAGCCTCCATGGATAGATCATACAGGTAAATACCTGCTCAGGAAGCGCTCTAAGTGCTGGCGAACTTACCAAGCGGCTTCATCAACCAGCACCTACGAAAGCTATCGAGCGGTTAGAAATAAATGTAAGCATCATCTTAGAACTCTTCGTCTTCAGTACGAGGAGGATTTGGCTAACGCAGCCGTAACAAACCCAAAGAAGTTCTTTGCTTACGTAAAGAGACGTAGCGGTACAAACTCGTCTATACCGGCTTTACTACGAGCGGACGGGACCCATGGGCATACCGACTATGATAATGCCTGTATACTTAGCGAACAGTATACTGGTGTCTTTTCTCATGAGGCCTCTCTACCTCAGGTTGAGCTGGTCACAAAAGTTCCGGAGGATTCTTGCCTAACTGAAATAAGCATAACGGAGACACAAGTCTTCGGGCTATTGCAAGGGCTAAATCCTTCCAAAGCTTCTGGCCCTGATTCAATTCATCCGAAGCTGATGCATGAATTGGCCGCTGAGCTAAGTGGCCCTCTGACATGCATGTTTACAATATCACTCGACAGCTGTGCCTTACCTTCGGAATGGAAGAAGGCAATCATCTGTCCGATTTTTAAGGGCGGGGACAGAGTTCTGCCCGCGAACTACCGGCCTGTCAGCTTAACAAGTGTAGTAGTTAAGTTGTTTGAAAAATTGGTCAGGGATTCGGTGGAGAATCACCTGATTAAGTTTAACCTTCTCAGTGCGGCCCAGCACGGATTCCTTAAGGGATTTTCATGTCTGACAAATTTACTTGTAGCTCGTGAAAGCTGGGCTGAGGCAGTAGACAACGGTCACGCCATCGACGTGCTTTTCGTTGACTTCTCGAAAGCCTTTGATACTGTCCCACATCAACGACTCTCATTGAAGTTGAGATCGTATGGGATATCTGGAGCCGCCCTTAAATGGGTTTCTGCTTTCCTAGAGGGCAGAGAACAGTGTGTACGCGTGGGGCGTAGCCTTTCGCTTAGACAAGCTGTTCTTAGTGGCGTTCCGCAGGGCTCGGTTCTAGGGCCGTTGCTTTTCGCAATTTATGTCAATGACCTACCCCAGGAGCTTGGAGTACCGTCGCTATTGTTTGCTGATGACCTCAAGCTCTGGAATATTGTGGATATCCCTGGTGGCTCTGAGGCACTTCAGAGTGCCTTGGATAGGCTCTGGGATTGGTCAACCTTATGGTTGATGCCCATAAATCAGGCGAAATGTTCTGTCCTCCGCATTGGAGGTGCTAGTCCCCCCACGCACTATGTAGTTGGTGGAAGTGAACTCCCTGTTGTCATTCAGCAGGTTGATCTAGGTATCACCCATACCTCATTGCTTCACTCTGGGGAAAATTGGAGGAAGGCTGCTTGTAGAGGGTTCCGTATGATGTGGTTTATTCGCCGCTCCTTCGGTGTCCTAACGGCCAATATCTTTGTGAAGCTGTTCTCAGCTTTTGTGCGACCTCACTTAGAGTACTGTATCCAGGCTTGTCCACCTTGTCTTGTAAGGGACAAAATGGAACTGGAGAGGGTTTTGCGAGTGGGTACAAGGTTAGTGCAAGGATTACGGGGGCAAACGTATCCCGAACGTTTGCTTAGCTTGGGTATGTACTCAATGCACTACCGCAGAATTAGAGGAGACTTGATTCTCACTTACCGTATCTTAACAGGTAAGATCGGTCCAGACTTGTCCTGGCTATTTAGTCCCGCCAAGCTGCCTAGTCTCCGAGGTCACCCGTTGAAGCTGCACAAACAGCGTTCTGACCGGGTAAGGACGGAAACTCGCTTGTCGCGTCGAGTTATTGAACGTTGGAACTCGCTTCCGGCGCACGTGGTTAGGGAGTCTACGGTAGAGGGTTTCGAGCGTCAGTTAGATGCTCTTGGGTGGCAGTACCAAACCTTCCCCTTCTCCTAACCGACTTGTATCTTCAACTTTCCCTTCGTTCTTTTTTAATTTCTTCTCACCTTGGTATTATCATTATTTAGCTGACATTCCTCCTCTTGTTTTCTTAGCTTACCCTTCACTCTTTTACTTCACATAAACCGCCCTGGCAGGGACTGCTGGGCAGGAAAATGTGGGCAGTAATTGGTTGGACAGGGTGTGATGCGGTCTTTGTTTTAGGCTTTTCAACATCTCAAGCAGACCTGTCAATTCCCGATCCAACGATACGCAAAAGAAGGAACATTCACGGGATTATCCTATCGTTCCGGTCCCAACTGAACTTGAACTTGAATTGGTCAAACCAATGGGACCTACCTCTAAATGCCAATAAATGTCAACTATTGACTAGTAGTGGTAGCGGAATTGCAGTTCAGTCTCCTGTGAGCTCTCTATCATTGCGGTGTACTGACGAAGCCCGTGATCTAGGTGTCATCGTAGCGAACAATTTTAAGCCTTCGGCATAGTGTCGCCATGCTGCCAATAAAGCGCGACACGAGTTATTTCGTCTTAGGAGGGCGCTGAGTAACACTAAAGCAGAAGTATTTTTGCTGTTATATAAAGCAGTGGTTAGGCCACATCTAGAGCATTGTGTTCAGGCGTGGTCACCGTACCTCCGGAGTGACATCATTTGTATAGAAAGGATTCAGAAACTTGCGACCAGGATGATTGAAGGTCAACAAGGGAAGTCTTACGAAGATCGTCTAAGTAGCTTAGGTTTATTTTCCTTGGAACGGCGTAGATTGAGAGGGGATTTGATAGAGACGTTTAAGATCATTAAGGGACTTAGTGGTATTAGTTCCACCCATCTGTTTGAGTTGGCTATGTCAGACCATCTGCGCGGGCATCGCCTGAAGCTCAAACATCATAGAGCTCGTTTGGACATCAGGGCAGTTTTTTACGAACCGAGTAGTTAACTTCTGTAATAAACTTCCTTCTGATTTAGTGGAGTCTGAGACCGTAGAAACCTTCAAAAGGGGCTTAGACGATTGTTGGTCCATCCTTTTTCCAGTGATATTGTAGTTGTCCTGGAACATGTAGTGTATTTTGATGCTGGCATATGAAAGTGCAAAGATTGCTGTTGTTCTTGCTTCATTCCATTGCAGAAGCAAGAACAGACAATCCAACGTTGGAGTGCCGGGGGCCGCTTCACTTACCGGCACAAGAACTGGACACTCGTTAGGCGGAAGCTTCTATCGTCCGTTTGACCTGACCTGACTCAAATTTCGATAGTGGCATCTGAGTCGTTTCACAGCGTAACCATGCTTACTTTGGCTCTTCCAAGTTTCATGGAACACAGTTCAGAGGTTTGGTTTAACATATTCGAGATCGAACTGGAAAATAAGGGCGTTACGGCGGACCGTCCGAGGTACAATCAGCTCGTCCCCAGCCTTCCTTCGTCGGTTGTGACGCTGGTTGAAGACATTCTACTCTGCCCATCGAATGAGGCAAAGTATGAAACAATGAAGCAAGCGATTTTAAAAGAGTTACAGCCCAGCGCACGAGCTCGATTTGAACAGCTCAATGGTCTCAGGCTTGGAGATCGCAAGCCGTCGGCGTTGCTCCGCGAACTTCAGCGCATCCTTGGTCCCTTATTCTTGAGCGAAGAAGGGATAAAAGAGCTGTGGTTTGCACGTCTCCCAGAGCCATTGCCGGTATTGCTGTCCATGTTTACAGATACACCCCTAAAAGAATTAGCTACCAAGGCAGACGCTGCGTTCGAACGTTTTCCGCAGTAGACGACCACTAGCTCCGGTGACGTATTCTCACCAATGAAAATAGAATCTCATGTTTGTTCCCAGTCGTTAGGCCGATCTGACTCTAAAGACGAGGAAATTGCGCTACTTCGCAGCAGGATAACAGCAATGAAGGCTTCGAAGCAGCGTGTGGTCAAATGCTGACCACGTTTTGGCTACCGTTCATTGCGGCTCGTCTGTGCCTGCACCGAGTACGTCACGTTCGGCACGAAAGCGCAACACTTTTCTTACAAGTTTTCAGTCAGATAATGTCAAACCCGTCGAAGAAGTATGTTGGTATCACCGCCAATACGGTGGAAGAGCTAGACGTTGTCGGGCTCCCTGTATTAGGCACGACCCAGCTGCTTCAGGGAAAACGAATAGCCCGCATACTAGCACGACAAACGTATCATTAAATTACCAAACAAACTGACTGTTTTACGTTAAGGATCGACGTTCTTCCATCACATTCCTCATCGATACGGGAGCGGAAGTCAGCGTCATCCCAGCGACCGCTAACGACAATCACTCAGCCTACGTACAATTTGCGTGCGGCCAACGGTTCTCCCATAGCTTCATTCGGTTAGCGCATGATGAACCTGGACCTCAATCTTCGCCGAGACTTTCAGTGGGTCTTCATAATTGCGTCTGTACCCTTCGCAATTATCGGTATCGACTTCCTCCGACATTTTGGCTTGCTTGTTGATGCTGGTCGCCACAGACTTTTAGACGATCGTACTAAACTAGGGGTTGAAGGCGTTCTTACGGACGCCACGATAATCAGTCCCGTTTTTCGAATCGCCGATGTACCGTCAGATTATGTGAACCTACTGTCTGAATATCCGCGAGTGGTACGACCAGCTGCAGAGCTTCCGCCAGTCACGACAGAGGTCGTTCATCACATAGTCACGCCTGGTCAGCCAGTTAGCGCACGACTAAGACGTCTTGCTCCTAACAAACTACGTGCGGCACGAGCTGAATTCGACCACATGCTTCAGTTCGGTATTGTTAGACCGTCTAACAGCCCATGGGCGTCACCTCTGCACATGGTCCCGAAGAAAGTTATGGGGGACTGGTGTCCTTGCGGCGACTATCGAACCTTGAATACGATTACCACGCCTGATCGCTACCCGATCCAACACATAGTGGATCTCACCGCCATCCTGGCGGGTAAAAATATCTTCGGCAAAATCGACTTGGTACGCGAATACAACCAAATTCCGTTAGCCGAAGCGGACATCGCTAAAACTGCCGTGACGACTCCATTTGGTTTGTTCGAATTCCTGCGCATGCCATTTGGTCTAAAGAATGCCGCGCGAACTTTTCAGCACTTCATCGACCAAGTTTGTCGCGGCTTGGACTTCGCTTACGCTTATCTCGACGACATTTTAACCGCGAGCTCTTCACGAGAACAGCACATACGCCACGTACGAACACTTTTTGATCGTTTATCTCAACACGGGGTGACGATCAACGCAGAAAAGTGTTCGTTTGGTGTCGACTCAGTAAACTTCGTCGGCCATCGTATCTCCTCTGCAGGCGTCGTGCCACTGCAGGATAAAATTCACGTCATCATTGACTACCCCCAAGCCCCATTCTTTCAAACAGCTCATGCGTTTTGATGGGCTTGTCAACTTTTACCGACGGTTCATACCCAACTGCGCCGCGCTGATGCAACCCCTCACAGTCGTCCTCCGAGGGAAACTCAAGAAATTCGAATTTCCTGCTGCAGCTAGCGCTGCTTTTAAGTCGCTGAAAGAGGCTATCGCCAACATAGCTTCTATAGCACATCACGATCCGACTGCCCCACTGTTCCTCAGTACTGACGCCTCGGACGTGGCAGTCGGCTCTGTTTTGCAGCAACGAGATTCGACACGTGTCAGCCGTTAGCGTTTTTCTCCAGACGCCTACAACCTACCGAATCTCGCTACAGCACGTTCGGTAGAGAACTACTAGCCGTATATCTAGCGATACGTCACTTTCGACACGTCCTAGAAGGCCGCTGCTTTGCCATCTTCAGCGACCACAAACCCCTGACTTACGTGCTCGGCTCGACTACCGACCGATACTCTCCTAGAGAGCCGCGCCACCTTGACTATATCGCTCAGTTTACGACCGATATACGTCATGTCTCAGGTGTGCACAACGCCGCCGCCGATGCACTTTCTCGCATCCAAGCTATCTCTGCTGACGCCGGCACTGATATCGACTTGGAAGCCATGGCCACAGCACAACTCAACGATCCTGAGGTTGATCTACTACGCAGGTCTTCCTCATTGGAGCCGTTCCGCTGACATCATCAGACGGAATTATACTCTGCGATTTATCTCTGGGCATGCCGCGCCCAGTCGTTCCACGCGAGTTTCGGCAGATCGTGTTCGACACGTTGCACGGCTTGTCTCATCCAGGCGTTCGTGCATCGTTTAAACTCGTAACCGCACGATTCGTTTGGGGTAATGTTAATCGGGACGTCCGTACTTGGGTAGCTGCTTGTCTTCCGTGTCAACGCGCGAAGGTGCACAAGCACACGGGAAGCCCATTAGGCACATTTCCGACGCCAGACGCACGTTTTCATCACGTGCAAGTGGACCTCGTAGGTCCTCTGCCGCCTTCGGAAGGTTATGTGTATCTGCTGACCTGTGTCGTTCGATTCACTAGGTGGCCGGAAGCCATTCCCATACTTAAGTGCTCTTCGGAAACAGTAGCGAAAGCTTTTCTGGAGCGCCGGGTAGCTCAATACGGCTGTCCGCCATTATGACCACCGATCGAGGGTCACATTTCTCGTCAACATTTGCCACCTTGCTTAAGGATTTAAGCTGTCGCCACTTCCAGACGACAGCGTATCATCCGGCCGCTAACGGCATGGTGGAGCGTTTTCACCTCCAGCTGAAGGCAGCGCTACGTGCGCACGCAGATCCTTCATGGTCTGAAACGCTGCCCCTCGTTCTCCTAGGCTTACGAAACACGGTTAAAACCGATTTCGACGCCACACCAGCGCAGCTAGTCTACGGTTGCATGCTGCGGTTGTCCGGACAGCTGGTAGCACCAGCTCCATGCACTTCCACTTTTGACTACGGAAGTTACACTTATCCACCCGCTCCTCGATCGCAGAAGACACCAGTGTACGTGCCCGAGAAGCTGTCTACGTGTTCACACGTCCTTCGCGCAGACTGTGTTCGACAGCCTCTTCAATCGTCGTACCTAGGACCTTTCAAGGTGCTACATCGTGCGAGTAAGGCGTACACTATTGACCGCGGTGGTCGACACGAAGTCGTCACCATCGACCGTCTAAAACCCGCCTTTATGGAAGAAACCACCTCGCTTACTTCGTCTAGTAGTGCTTCGTGCGATGTCACAACTGACCGCACCGGCTTTCAGCATCCTAGTGCAGTTCAACCAGACCACGATCTCGGTCTACAGGCTTCAGCCGTCCCGACAACTCCCGAATCTAGTCCGCCGCCTCCCACGACCAATCGCCGTGGTCTGGGGGTGCGTAAGCCGGTTCGTTTC